GCATTGGGCAAAACGCCATGGACTTGGTCGTTTTCTATTCCCCCGATAAGGCATGCATGACCTACTATATCAACAATGATGCTGCCGGCTATAAGATTGAGTATCCGTTCGCCTATATCAAGAACATCACTTTGGAAACCGGTGATCCAAGCCCTGGGCCGAATGGGGAACCCCCTCGACCTGGTGGTCTTGTTGTGGAACTGAACCGCCCACCGCACTTTTACATGGACTCATCCAACTCTGGAGGGTTTTATCAGTGTGGTGATTTCACCGAAGAGCAGCAAGCTAGTCAGATCATGGTTCATCACCTGGGAGGCCATCCCAAGGTCTTGAGCGTTCAGCTTGCCAAGCTTGTGTCGTTGGAGTCCTTCCAGAACCGCCTAGCTTATAATAACAGCAGCTTTACCGTGCCAGCGGCAATGTCTCCGCCATTCATCCAGCGTCCTGCATCTCAGCCTAACCAGTTTGTCGCTCCCACTTACATGAACTTGTACCAGGACAGCAACCACTTGGGTTTCAACATGCCAGCTGCTCGCGGCCACAAACGCCAACGTAGCCGTTCAGTACCTGTTGCAGTTGATATCTCGTCATTCCAGGGTCCCATGTCTTCCTTCCACGTACCACCCCCTCTACCCCCATTCAACCACACGGAGGCAGGCATCTACGCACCCGTTCCACAGTCAGTGCACCATCTCCCCACCGACCTGCGCATCGACACCCAAGGATATGGACTGGATTTCCGAACCAATCCCATGTCCGCGACAACCACTGGATCACCTCCCGACTTCGCCAGTCCTATGTACAGCAACGCCGGCCAGGGCGAGATCACACCGGTCGCCAGCATGGCGCCTCAGTTCAACGTGCCCTTCGTCTCGGGCGGTTCAACCGATGCCTCGGCAATGGGCTCCCATGCCCCATCTCCTTACTCCAGCATGAGCCCTGCAGACCCGCTGATTGCAAACCACTCACCGCCACTGTCCAACATCTCGCACGGCTCCTCCGATATGTATGGTTTCTCCCACGACCAGCAGACTAGCTTCGATGACGGTCTTTCGATGAACGATATGTACTCAAAGCATCATGTCAACTATGGGGTTTCCCAAGAAAGTCCCAGCTTCGAACTGCCCATGCATGGCCTCTCTGCCCACCCTTCTCCTGGCATGGGTGATTACTCCCACGGTATGGCTAACTTGGATGAGATCAACTCACAGGGCATGCCGACTGGGTCATGAACTGCTGCCTCTTGAGGTTATTGAGTTTGTGCTTCTCCTTTTGTCTCTTGATGTTTCACGGCCTTTTTATGCATGCGGCGCTTATGCTTATCATGCGTTCTTTTGGGGTTTTTTTACCTTGGGAATTTCTTCATTGTCCATTATCGAGAGCCGTTGCTAGGTGTTTGGTTTCGGTTTTTTTTTTCCCCGTACAACCCCCTCGACGGCTCTTTTTGGATGATTCTCGTCTCGCTGGCGACGGCTAGGGAAGCGATTTATCTTTTGATGTGTTTCTTGCGTGACATACCCTTATGTCTTGTTATATTGATTATACCCTTTCTATTCTGGGGCCGGTCCTAAAGCGATTTTGTTCTTTTTATTTCTGTTTTCCCGGCTGTCCCGGTTGAATCCAGGACTTTTTTTTCATTCTTCTTCTCTTCTTTTCTCCCGGTCAGCTTACCATTCTTCATTTTTTTCTCTTTTGATTTATGGCCGGGATCATTTTTTCTTCATTTTTTCCTCCTTTTTTTCATTTTCCATTTCTATTTTACGTGGTTATGCCAAACAGACCGACTTGGACTGCGACTCCATTCCGCTCAATTTTCCTTTTTTGTTCCCTTCTGTGTGAGTTTCTTCAAGGAGAGTGGCACTATCTGCCCTACACTCCTGTGGTTGCAATGACCCATTTCCACATAATGGGTCTGCAGTCGAATTCTTGTACATGAGCTTGTTCTGTTGACACCTGGTTGGGTCTGACATTCAACCAACGCCGATCCTCTGGGCTGCGCGGAGTTGTGATATATTCTGCCCGGGACCATACAAGTAGGACGCGTTGAGCTGGCGGTATACGAGTGTGGGGGATTGACGCTAGGCTCTGAATCAATTCATTTTGTATCGCAAACACCTCCGTTTAGCTTGTAGCTGTAATTCCTTTTCACATACTGTACAATGGCAATTACATTGGTACTACTTCGTATATACTATTATACAAGGGTATCTTAAACGCATTATATCAACCCAGCATCACATGCCTTACGCCTGCTTCTGCTTCTCCCACCCCATCGGCAAGGGCGCCTTATACCCTCCCTTCTCCCTAAGGAACCATTCAATCCAAACCTCCATCTTCTCCAAAACATTCCGTTCCGGCTTCCCCTCCATCCCAACATCAAACACCCCCTCCTTACACCAAACACTCCACGACCCCATCATCCCCGCCATAAGAACATCAGTTCCAAGCCGATCCCCAACAACAGCAATTTCATGCGGAGACTCAACAACCCCCCTTTCCCGAAACCACTGCACAACCTCCTTCCCGCAAAAAGGCTTCTTTTCCGTCCCCGCCGGCAGCCGGAAAACAGGAATACGCAGATGCGCAAGCTGCGCTTCTAGCTCGGAGATTTCGCCGTCGAAGCGCGGGTGGCTGCCGGCGCGGTTCGAGACGATCAGGATTGAGTGTGGGTTTGTGGTTTGATTGAAGGGGGAGGTTGGCGAGGTGCGGAGGGAGGAGAGTTTGGCCAAGATCTGTGGAGGGAAGGATGTTGTTTTCGCCGCGCAGAGAGTGTTGTCTTTGTCGAGGACTAGAGCACGGATTGTAGGTGTGTGTGGGGGTTTTTCGGGTGTTGGTATTTGTGTCTGGAGACCTTTCTTTGCGCTAATCAGGTGTGGGCCTAGGTTCTCGGGGAGGTGGGTGAAGGTTGGGATGGTGAGGTGTGGTAGGAATTGGGTTGGTTGTTTGAGGAGGGTTTGGACGGCGTGGTTGAAGCCGCGTAGATTGGAATTGGGTGAGCCGGCCATTATGCTGATATTTGAATGTTGACGTAGAATTATCGGAGGTGTAGAAAGTGCTATTGGACGCGCATTATGTGGAGATTTTTATGTCTTTTTCAGGTTGAAGTTGTTGTTTGGTCGGGATTGAGAGCCCAAAGCGGAGAGGATGAGCTTAGCCGCAAAACTCGCCTTTCTCTTAACCTCCACTTACTCCGACCTCATCACTGTCCCACCATCTCCCCACGATCACCCATTGCCTTGATTCGTGCCTTTTTTTTTGCGCGAGGGAAGCTCTCAGGTTTATTTTCAACTTTTGTTAACCGCTTTCCATCCTCGTTCGCCGTCACACAGTCAAAATGGGCAAGCTCACCTCCACGATCGGCATCCCGATCAAGCTCCTCAACGAAGCGCAGGTGCGTTACAATCCCTGATATTACTATTTCGATTATTGGGTCGAAAGGCAGGATATACGCATGATATCGCGAAAATGTATATCGCCGTGGATAGCGCGAGACAGGTGAGCTAATATTGTTTTCCAAATAGGGCCATGTCGTGACAATTGAGATCACATCCGGAGTCGTCTACCGGGGGAAACTCTTGGAAGGTGTGTGATTCATTTCTACCCGAGCCTTTTGGGTGTCTGCTCTCTATTCATAGAGTCGGTCTATAAACAAGCTTCGGGGAATGTCTTTGTTGCGCGATTCGAAAACTAACATGCATTTCCCACAGCCGAGGACAACATGAACGTTCAACTCAAGGACATCACCGTCACCGCTCGCGATGGCCGTGTCTCCCATCTCGACCAGGTCTACATTCGCGGCAGCCACGTGCGATTCTTCATCGTGCCTGACATGCTCCGGTACGTTAAACCCTGATACCCAGCTTTTTGGATCGCGAATTCGCCAACTACACATCTTCAATTTCACCCTTGCTGACTGGTTTCTTTCTTTTAGTAATGCTCCCATGTTCCGTACACGAGGCCAGCGCGGGCGCGGTGTCGGTTTAGCGCGTGGTAAGGCTACAGTGCAGCGTGCGCGTGGCCAGCGCGGCCGGGGTTAGATGTTATGTGGATGAGATGAAATCGCAGTTTCAAGGCCTCACAAATTCAAGAGTGGTTGGCGTTTTTCTTTGTTTTCTTAGTTCTTAGGGGATTTCTTTTTCGGGCTTTGATCTTGCGAAGCCTTAAAATATCGACTGGCATTTGTTCTTGTAGATGCTTTGTCAGATCATTCAATTTATGAATCAATACCCGACATGAATCTCCTGGTTTCATAGGTTAAAGGTGTGTCTGCGTATGTTCAGCTCACACGGCACCCATCGGGTATTGATATCGATTCAATCAATGCCTTGGATGGTGGGTCGTGTACGAAGAGTATATTAAGCGTAAGAAGAGCTCCATAATCAGAGAATTAAGCTAGCCGATGAATGGCTAAAAAGAAAAGAGAGAAACCATTCATTGGCCATGGATTAAGCAATTCGGACAGCATGGACCGTATATATATATATATATGAGCTCCCGCCGCTTTAGAGCTCTAGGTTAGGCTATGTAAATGTGAGCACAGTGATCGTGCACAATTATATATCACGTGACTGTTCGTCCTTTACGCACAACTCTCGAGGTCGTTATCCTGCACTTCTGCGCGCAATCTCGGAACAGTAAGTAGCCTAAAACAGCAATGGAACCATCTTTCTGGAAGGTGCAACGTCTCCACCAGCAAGTATAACCCCCCCTCCACGCGTAGCGAAGTCATGACGTGGGGACAGCAGCCCTGTTATACGGAGAAGGTCTGGGTTGGATGTATGATATATGGCCGTGAATCAATTGGATACACAATACTCCCTAACTTGAGATGTATTAAGACGGATAACAACACATGACGACGTTGAATCTCTAGGAATAACACGTTCGATAATTTCCTTTTCCCCTTGAAGCGTCAAAATTCATGCCTCGGGTCAGATCAGAATACTGCCCGTTTAGCAATTAGCAAGGCTTCCCAGAAGCGTGCAGCTTCGGAAACTAGCTCATTCCTTCCTGCTGCAAACCTCCCCCAAAACTTCACAGAATCGATCCAGAAGTATGTCTACCTCATTTTCCCTGAGAATAGAGTTGGAAGACTCGATTACAAACAAAGTAGTCGTGCTAGTAGGAAACACAAGCAACCACACGACATCCTCAGGGGGGAGATTGAAGAATTGTGTGCTCTTCTGGCAGGACAGCTGACCAAACTGTGTCCTTACATTTTTGTTATAGTTTTGAAACACCACGACCGAACCCGGTTTGACTCCTGATGACCACTTGGTACAATTTCCCACAATGTCATTCCATCCAATGGTCTCAAACCCGATACTCTCAGCATGCTGAGACTGGACAGCACGAAGTAGCTCACGGGGAGTGTCAGACTTTAGAGTTCGTTGAACTCGGACGGGGATTGTGTTAGTGCAGGGGCCGAGAACTTCCTCAATACCGGGAAGAAGTAGGCTTCGAGCGGTGATCAATTGCCCGAAGACAACGTCCGAGGAGCCTGTCCATTCTTGTAGCACCGTTGCCCAGGCTACTTTGATAGCCGTAGCCATGGTTATCCCAGCAGGGGGCGTAGGCAGAGACACCTCCCTCTCAAAGCCTACACTTTTCTCCCCCACCACCGGAACAATTGGGAAGGGAACCGGAGTGACTTGTGAATCTTGAAGCAGGTTTCCCCAGAATGCGTACGCCTCAGGGGTTCTCTGTCGGAAGCACTCTCGCGCATAAGCTGAAAAGTCGGATTCGATGCGTGCTTCTTGGTTATCGTATTTGGCCCACAAATCAGACACAAGCTTCTGGAGGCCGATTGCATCGTACTGGGCGTGTAGCAGCCTGATGATCAGGATGGAGTGGTCTGGTGCATCTTGGACCAGTTTGAACTCGACTCGGGGCTCATCAGCGTGATACCTCTTCTGCAGTTCTGCCTCACAGAATGATTTCGCCCAGCTTTGAGCACTTTGGTCTCCTGAGGGATGAACCGCGAAGGGTACATCTACACGGCGCAGAATAACCTGGAGTATGTCCTCTCGGAAGGGGATAAAAATCGACCGCAAGATGGTATGCTCGTCGACAACCGCTTGACAGGCGCGGTGGAGTTGCAATAGATCAACAGGGCCCTTCAATTCATAAAGGTGATAGTCAAGCATATGTGTAGAAGCCAAGGTGTGCTGCTCCTCCAGTGTTGGAAAAGCGTCCTCGATCTGGTCTTCTGTCAACGGAGCTGGGAGATTGGCGAGAAACTCATCTCGGACTGCTTTGAACGGATCATATGCCTCGTCCGGGACTGAGATATCATCCTTTTGGTGACATTCAGCAAGGCTCAGTAGGGACGACGCTCGGAATATATCGGCCACGGCTATGTACAGGCCGCTCTGTCGGCACTTGGTTACTAACTCTCGAGCAGTGATGGAGTTACCGCCGAGATCAAAGAAGTTGGACTGCATCCCTACCGTCACCAATGGGAGGTTAAGCACCTGCGAACATACTGTTTGAAGAAGAGTCTCTTGGGGCGTGATGGGATCTTGATGAACAGAGTCGTGGGAGATGTATGCCAGTAGGTCTTTGCGGGACAGCTTGGATGCTTCTTCGCGCAGCACTCGCCGATTTAGCTTACCAGTCGCAGTTTGGGGCAATGCCACAGTGGCTACAATAGCCGGGGGTACCATGAAGCTGGGGAGAGACTGATGTAGGTTTGACAAGGCGTTTCTCGCTTTCTGGCGGAAGTCCTGAGTGGGTGAGGCAAAGAGGCCTTCGATTATACCATCGCGCTGGAGCGTGGACTGCTGCTTTCCAATAGGAACAAAGGCAACCAAAAGTGGATTTTGGGCTGTGTCATCTGATGGAACAACCACGTCGACCACCGATGGTTCATGGGTGTTAAATTGAGGGCATAGGTGGTGTTCGATCTCAGCAAGCTCGATCCGCTGGCCGCGAATCTTGACCATCCCGGTACCTTTGCGGCCCAGCAAGTGTAAGGTTCCATCCTGCGGGTTGTATTTGACGAGATCACCGGTCCTCAAAAATCGACTATTGCTATCGGGTCGGACCTGTTTCAGCCAAGCGGGATCATGTAAAAAGGTCATCCAGTTTTGCTCTGGATTATTCATATACCCTCTACTCAGACACGGCCCTTCGAGTAGTAGTTCTCCTTCCGCCCCAATTGGCATGAGGATTTCCGGATCATGGGGACTGACCACCCAAGGGGTTGCACATAGTGGCCTCTTGAACTGGCGAACATCGCAGCCGGGCTCGTTGCGGCTGCCGTAACAACAACCCTTCGAGTTCTCTGACATTCCATATAGGGACAAGAGGTTTACACCGCTGTGCTGCCACTTGGCCAATTCGGTCGCCGACATGGGCTCACCTACCATTACCAATGTCTTCAGTCCAGAAAGGTCTCCTGGGTCCAGCAGGCGAAGAACCGATGGTGTCAGTTTGAGCCAGTTTGCCTCATGGTGACGAATTGCCCCAAGCAAGTCGTTCTGCAGCTGCGGTTCGGACGGTACACAGATACAGGCACCCTGAGTAAGAGGAGCGAGCTGGTCCGTGAGACTGACGATGAATGCATAGGAGGCATACTGCAGTACGCGTGACTGGGGAGACAGACTAAGTTGTTGGGCGTAGTTTGTCAGGCCACTCGCAAAGGCTGTATGATCCATTGCAAACCCCTTGGGTTCTCCCGTCGAACCAGAGGTAAAACCGGCATACATGATGTTACGTGGGTGAACAGTTGCGAGTTGTTGGGATTCCACTGCAGGAAGTTCACCCGTTTCCAAGTCACGAGGAACCACCCAGATGGGAACTTCCAACTGCTCCGCCAAGGCCTCATGTTTGGCCGACGCCAGGACGAGTCGCGGTTGAGCCTTGCGACACATAACTGCCAGTCGTTGGGCGGGTTGTGAGGCATCTAGGAGATAAAAGCATCCGCCAGCTTTTAGCACAGCGAAGATGGCCACTGTTGTCCACATGGATTTCTCCATGAGCAGACCAACAAACCGATCTGGACCCACTCCGCTGGCGACTAAACGAGCAGCTATTTTGGACGCCTGCTCATCTAGTTCGCCGAACGTCAGCGTACCATCCCAGGCACTGATTGCTGGAGCCAATGGTTGTTCACGACAGCGTTCCTCGATGAGATGATGAGCGAGCTTTTCCACGCATTGAGGGAGTGTTTCCGCATTCCACTGAAGTATCTTCTCAATGGATTCCGGGCTGCTCCCTTGGACGTCAGCAATAGTTGTTTCGGGGTTGTGTATGATGCCGGTATAGACATGACGCAGTTGGAAGAGAATAGCCCTCAAAAGTTCTGGTACCAAAATTTCTCCATCGAAGATCGCTTGAATCATGATGGCATCAGGCTGGATTCGGCAATGTATTTGAAGAGGACATGTGTTGACTTTTGGAACAAAGATTTCTTCTCCATCTTTCCGAATCACCAGGATGTTGTGGAATGTGCCGGTGCTCTGCAGTGTCTTATCCGGCGCATTGATGATATCATCCCCCTGATTCAATGCTGTCGTGACGGAATCCTCTGGTTGGAGTCTCAGAATGCATGGTTGCACATCAGAGTAGGACGGCCGCACAAGGCCAAACAGCACATCGGTTGAATTCGTAAAGGTGGTCAACACGATCCCCCATGCCACTGCCAAAGCGTTGATCGTTGCTGGATATCTCACAGCATCATTACAATTGTCAATAACCAGGTCAAGCCGATCTTTCACTGAGCCCTGATAGCCATTGAATGACAAGACAGGAAAGCTTGCCGGATGAAAATCTGTGAAGTGGTGGCTCATTTTATTCGAAAATTTCCTTTTCTTCTCACTTCTCAATGCAAGGATTTGATTCTCCCCCAATTCATCCAGATTCGAGAGTTCAGCTGTAGTCCGCTTTATGTCTGCGGCCTACAATGACAGAAAATTTGCTTGGTATCTCTTTATATGACTGAGCATGATCTGAAGGATATCTTCATTCTAGTAAACTATATTCGGCAAGGCGGTTTTATACACATTATACATTACACATTACACAGTATACATACAGTACACATTATACATTACATAGCCTATGTAATTCAAAAACGTGTAAAATCGAAGAACCCCATTTACTAGTACGGAGTAGGGAGTTGAGAGCTGTAGCTACCTACATAGCTAAGTTGCCCCACAGTTCACGTCTGTTTCTTCAAAAAACAGGAATTTGGAGAAGGTAGCACTGTGGGGGCTTACTCCGTACTCCGTACTAGTTGTCGGTAATTGTAGGAGGCGGCAGAGCTCAACAAATTAGGTCGATCACTTACCATATCGAGATATGATCGGGATGTAATTTTCACGATACGGATGAAGTGATCAGGTTTCCTGGCTCGATCGAGCTAACCTACAATAATACTTCGTACCTAGGTCTAAATATGTACATATGAATATTCGGAAATTGTGATCGGCATGTTGTCAACTTGTCAGGTGGGCCCCAGGTGTGAGACTGAGTTAGGTGCTCCAATCGGCTAGAAACTCTCGATTTATATATTCGACTAGAAGATACTCCGTAATTATTGTGTAAAGAACCAAGTCGGTATCCTGGTTTATGATTTTCATCTGGTCATGGTTTTATACGAAGTACAGTGATCCACATTCGCAGAGCTCAATCCTTCTTTTCCTTACTAGAGTGTGATCTATGCTCGGGCATATATTGCCATATGTGATACATTGATTCCTCTTGAGATCTATTTGTTGATGTAGCTAGACCGGATCCTTGCGAAAAGGCATTTAGCATCATTCTATAACCTCAGGCTTGGGATGAAGATATGACGAGAGAACAGTGTATCATGATCAAGTATATCACTGGAGGCCCCAGACTTTGTTATTTCTATATTATGATTTCAAAGGATAGGTCGCTTCCCAGATTAACCCCTTTTATTTCTCAATCATGTACTAGTCAAAAAATTCAAGAGGTCGCCTTCGGCCGAACCAACATTTCTGTTCGCTCCCTTCGATATAAGATCGATTGCTAAGCCTTTTAGTTTACCCTTTGGGTCTATCTGGGACGCTTCAGATAACCCAGGTCCCACCATGATTTGCCTAAAGAAAAGCATCCAGACTCCAATGAGAATTAAAGCTTCAGCGAACAAATCCGCGTCCAGATCTCGATATCCCCGTACGAACCCTTGAATCAATGGGCCGAAGGAGCCAACACCACTGAAATGGTGTTGAATGTAGGTGACGGCCATCATATTGGCAAAGTCGTGGAGCTGGTTTTCATATGTAATAGTCTCCCAATCGATAACGGTAAGCTCTGTGTCAACTGGCAAAGATGAATATTTGATGAGAATGCTGTTCGTCTCTGTCAGCATATGACCATAAATACGGAAAGACAAAGCATACTTTCGTGGAGAGAAGTCTCCATGAATCACACCCTGCACTCTTTGGTCCTTCTTGGTAAGAGCCGCGAGGACTGCTTGCCGGAGGATTTTATCCTCGCATTGGTTGGCAACCGCTTCGTATAAAGGACTAGGTGTCTTGCAGTGAAGGTCTTCATTACGTCGAAATATCTTCAAAATTTGTTCTTCAATCCGACTTCTGCCCCAATCATGGAAACAAGCAAGCCATCGCCCGATCGCTTCGCCGATGGACATGATTTGGTCTTGGATAATGGGCTCAGAAGGAGGTGACAGAAGAAATGACTTCAATAGCTGACTGTCCACTTTGTCCTCGAAGAGTTGTATCTGTAACTTGGGAATGAAATGATATAGATGTACGGGTCTTACTGAGACGCCATTATCCAAGACAGGCTGAAAAGCGCCAGTATCTTTGGCCATATGCAGGAATGCCAGCTCAGCTGCCTGCAAACAATGTCGTTAAACATATACTCTTAATCGCAAGGAAACAACATACAGATCGAGTGGCATCTGAACATTGTCTAATAACCACACTCCGGCTTCCATCCGGCAGCGGGTCAAGCAATAATCCCCTGCAAATGCAATTCACGCTGCCGCCTGCCAATCTCTCAACGGCGGAGCAGGCATAGGGGAGATGGGCCAAAATGTCAATAAATCGAGCATCTTCTGCGTTTTCTTGCGATGCACTCATCTTACTAGGACAGTCTCTTACTGGCACAGCTCAAAACAATTAGAATGTGTTTTTAACAACTGCACTATTGGGCCAGTCAGGTGATCTAATTCCTTATGGGGTTTAGGACATGTATTTTAGACCAGTCAATTAGATGCCTCATACGGTACATGGGTCGATCGATCGATCGACATCACATGTACCAAGCGCTTGCCCAGTTCACCATGTTCAAGTTTCTTCAGAAAAGTTAAAACGAACTACTGCAAGAAGGTGGAACCATTGAGGTCTGCAATATATTTATAGTGAATTACCAAGGCATTACAAACATGAAAATGCATGATGGCACAATCGTGTATTTTGTATTTTCGTGTACGAAATACATAGTAATTTAATCTGGCTATAGTAGTATATATACTTGGTTAGACACATACAGCTTAAGTCCTCCTTTTGTGCCATTCATTGTTATACTTGCAAGATGATTTTTGATTCATTATTACCTCTTCCATCGTTGCCTCAGGCCGATGTCTTTTCTTACATCTTTCGCCATGGACGGCAAGATTATCCCAAAGACCGTGTTCTATATCAAATAGACGGGACTGAGGAGACGTTGACGTTGAGCCAGTTAGAACAGCGGAGCCTGCAATTGGCCCGCCACTTGAAAGCCGAATATCGAATCCAACCTCAGGATGTGGTAGCGATATTTTCTCATGATCTAGTATGTCTATCTGCATGAGAACAATTGGATTCACCTAACATTATGTCAAGATCCAATATCCCATTGCCTACTTTGGCTGTATCGCTGCGGGAGCCACAGTGGCCCTGATTCCAGTTCAGAAACAGCAAAATGAGATGGACGTTGTCTCGCATCTCAAACTGGTCAATGCAAAGCTGATTCTGACTGATCAAAAGCTGATTTCCCTGACAAAGAAGGCATTGAGCCACTATCGCGATATTCCGCTGCTTACTTTGGATCGCGGATCCGCATCATATCCGAATCTGGAAGACATGCTGGTGGAACCGAGATGCCGCGATGATAGCCATTTCGCCCCGGTTTTCGAATTGACTACCAATGCCCAGGCGGAAGAATACACAGGCTTTATCAATCGCACCAGCGGTTCCACTGGAAGTATGAAGTCCGTTCTAGTCAGCCACGCCCATTTCATCGCAACGATGGAAGCCACTCGCCTCACAGTTCCATCCACCACCAACCCAGACGAAGATGTTTGGATCTCCCCCCTGTCTCTCGGCTTCTTCATCAACGCCAAGTTGCATATGGGTCTTAACATCTTACTGGGAATTCCGGTGGTGCTGATGAGGGAATCCCTCGAATCATCCAATATCGATGTCATCCCCCGTCACGGGATCACGTTCCTCTTTGTTGCGCCGCCATTGGCTGCGAAGCTTGCGTCCGACCGTAGCGAAACAGACCTAAGCAGCATAAAATGGATCTTGAGTGCGGGCAGCCCCATTAGCGAAGGCGTTCGCGACGCCCTATCCTGCCGCTTTGACGGACTGCCATTGACAATGGAATGGGCCTCGGCCGAAACGATGCTCCTCACTATCCAGACCGAAGACAAATCTTCCCGCCGGCCCGGATCAAGTGGAACGCTGGTCAACGGTGTGCAGGCTAAGGTCATTGACACGGAAACTGGCGCTCCGTGTGGGGTTGGCGAGTCGGGGAGAACTCTACGTGCGCAATAAACTGGCACGTTTCAGAGGATACAAGGATAACGAGGTGGCCAACCGTGCCTTCACCTCAGACGGATGGTTCCAGACAGGCGATTACGGGTACATTGATGAAGACAGCAACGTCTATATTCTCGACCGTCTCAAGGAGCTAATCAAGGTCGGCGAGGGCTACGGATCACATGTTTCGGCCGCCGAGCTGGAGGGAATCATCTTCGGTCACCCTGCTGTGGGCAGTGTTGTCGTGGTGGGGTGCCGCGATGAAGCTGCCCAACTGGACCGACCGACTGCATTTGTTGTTTTGAGGCCCGAATTCCGTGAAAAGCCAGAACAGGCGAAGGAGGATATCGAGCGATATGCGGGTGAGGGACTGACTGGTTTGCAATGTCTGTCCGGTGGGGTCCGCTGTATCGATCAGATTCCAGTGACGGGATTCAAGATCAACCGGAGGGCTTTGAGGAGCATGGCCTAGACCGATGCTACCTGTTGAGGTCTGGCTGCCTGAGACCTGCCCCCTCCAAGAAGATAGTAGATATATCTCTTTTCGCAATAGTGATTCATTGAATATCCTCTCTCCTAGCAGATTCGCCACCACTGGTTTGGTCTATAATTCTATGTAACATGAACTGTGAATTGGTATTTAACTCTGGGCTTCGAAAATTTCCACTAGCCGTACGCAACTGAGTAAATGACTGCGGTATTGTGAATTACGGTAACAAACACTGTACATGTATTATTAGTATCTTACCTAATCACAACATCAATCCACGAGATTCGACATACGGACATTTACTCCAAGGGGCTGGGAATATTTGGATTTAGCACTGCTGAGGGAGCTGAAGATCTTCAGGAGCTCCTTAGTGGCGTGCGATCTGCAAGTTCTCTTTGGTGACTGACAACTAGTTCGTACCAGGTAGGTTCAGCTAGCCATTGATCAACCCAGCTACCGTAGAGTGGGAGTAGGGTAGGTTCACTAACCTAAGAAACCTAATTGCCTAGTTCTGCAATGTCAATGAACCGCTTTAGTGCGATGGATTGACATAATTGCGGCAGAGTCGAACGTAACTTGGTCAGATCCTGCAATGAACCTATATCCACTTTGAGCTCAACTTTAATATCTACATTAAAATACGGTATGACGTGAACTCCGCATATTGGCTGTCTAATAATACGAAATAATATATCATCGAGGCCGGTGGATAATTGCCCATAGACGAAACCTTGTTTATCCCCTTCTATTCGTCAAGAGATTAGAAATAAATAAAAAGAATCAATCAACAAATTATCATTTCGGCTGAACTATGCTAAGCCTACAGAACCAGATCCTTGGGCTTCTCCCATGGGAATAAAGAGTTGGTAAAGTGCCCATTCTTCGATGTCTGGTAGTAAATGGGTTTCATCAATCCCAACTTTTTCGCAATGAAAGCAGGCCGCATGTCGAAGTTCTCGAACACGACCTTTTCCAATTGCAAATTGGTCATCTTGCCGGTTCCGTAGGTATCGACGAAGATACTCAATGGCTCGGCAACACCAATCGAGTATGACAACTGGATAAGACACCGCTGTGCGAGGCCGGCATGGACGATCGATTTGGCGATCCATCGCGCCATATACGCAGCAGAGCGATCAACCTGTGAAAATAGTGAGCATCTCATCGGTGTGGAATAGAAGGACAAAGAACACATACCTGGCGGTAATCTTTGCCGGAAAAGGCACCACCACCATGGGCGCCCCATCCACCGTAGGTGTCGACGACGATCTTTCGACCGGTGACACCAGCGAATTTCCCTGATGGCGTCACACCCAAGTCTCCGGTGGGTTGGATCTATTCCTGAATTAGTATTTGGGAAGAGCTGCTTCTGGGGCATGGGAAAACATACGTAGTAAGCAGTCTGGTCGTCTAGGTACTGTGCGGGAACTGCCTTGCGGATAACCTTTTCAAAAACTTCCCGGCGCAGTTCCTCGACTGTCACATCCGATGTATGCTGCGCCGTGAGGACAATAGTATGCACCCGCAACGGGACTGTCTCGCCATTCTTGCGTCTGGCGTATTCGATGGTGACTTGCGTCTTGGTGTCTGGTAGCAACCAGGGAAGAGTCCCATCCAAACGAGAAGTCTTCATTTGTCGGGTAATGCGGTGTGAGAGATCAATGGTGAGGGGCCTAAGGTGGTAAGTACCTTGTGGGAATGTCAAACCAATTCTGGAACGTACAGTGATTGTGGTGTTTCATTCGAGGCATAACCAAAAATGATGCCCTGATCGCCAGCAGCTTCGGTATCGGAAGTACTGAGAAATACCAATGGCGCGGCGACTTCGGGAGCAGTTCGTCGCTCAATGTGATCCATTACCTTGCAGGTCTTGTAGTCGAGTTCCTGGTAGGTAGAGTCATATCCGATATCCTTCAGGACTGTGCGGACAATGGCATCGACATCAATCTGGGCTTGGGTGTCCAGGACACCAAACACAAAGATCAGGCCTGGTCGAGCGGCGGCTTCGATGGCGACTTTGGACAGAGGATCTTGTGTCAAACAAGCATCGAGGATGGCGTCTGCTATCTGATCACATACTTTATCGGGGTGACCTTCGCCGACAGACTCGGAGGTGAAGAGAAAGGTGGGCTCGGTGATCTCAGTTTTAAGTAACATAGTGGTTGGGTATATTTAGGACCAGTAAAGAAACAGAATTCAACAAGAGCAGGTGTAGGAAAATAGTATTTACTAGATTGTCTCAACCAAAGGGGTGAGGAGCTCCATGTTTATGTAGTCATTTATAAAACTCGATTCTCAAATCCATTCTTGTAAAAGAGTATTCCAAACAGATCAAAGCTCATGCGGATTTCGCGATACATCCGATACAGCAAGTACGGTTTAGGTATTTTGTGTATCTTATGTATTTGATATACTTTCTGTCTTCTACGTATTTTGCGTATTTTGCGTATTTTGCGTTCTGTGGAGCCTAAGCTTCTTGTCTCTCAACATTTGAAGGTTCCTCTGCTATGCAGATCACTATTGATAGGAGGTCGCCTGCTGGACAGATGTCCTTTTCAAAAGGAGAATATAACTTGTCTCAAAGCGAACTGCACTTGCATGCTACAGGTCCATAGTTCTCATTTTGTACGTAATACCGTCTTCGGGCAGTTAGGCAAGTCATAATTCCTACTATGCACGGAGTACTCCGTGCCATTTTCCTCATGCCTTCTCGGGTCTCCCCGGCTTCTGTCTAGTCGATCTAGGATGCAGGCCACTTTACGCACCCTACTACGCTAATGAATATCGGCACGTACAGGATGGGGCAGCGGTAATCAATCCTATTGGAGTATTTTGGGAATCCGATCTCTCCACTAATTTCCCGTACACTGAATGTATCCGATTTTTACTGGTTCTAAGAATGCCATGGAAAAAGTATTATGTTCCTACGAGCTGAAGGAAAATTAGTTGGAAGATCCCTGCTTAATTCAAAGGCCGAACTTACAACATAGTGGGGGTTATTGAGACCTAGTCATAATTTTATCATTCAAGCAGAAGTGGTGTACTTTGTCTCAAGCCAGTCTAGTAGAGCTCTTGAAATTCTGGCCTTTTATTCATTCTATCTATCTTCCCTACTTAATCATTGCCAAAATGAAAGCAGCACACATTCACTTGACCAACCAGCCTCTCAATAAGGCTGCTTGGGCACTCAGCCCCAAAGCCAGACCATTCGTGGTGCAAAAAGCGCCCTACCCTTCCCCCGAATCAAACGAGGTAGTGGTGAAAAACCATGCCGTCGCAATCAACCCATGTGACTACATGTTGCAAGAAACTGCATTCCTGGATTATATCCCATATCCCAACATTTTTGGCGTCGATGTCGCAGGTGAAGTGGTGGAAGTAGGGTCAAATGTCACTGATCTGACAGTTGGACAGCGGGTGATCGGGTTTGACTTCACATTGTTCAGAATGTCACGTATACTCGACTAACTCGGGTGGATATCAGACATGCCTTTGGGATGGATAGCACCTATACCCGCCACGCCGGATTCCAACACTATACCGCTCTACTTTCGAGTTTAACCTGTCCATTACCCGCCGATGTCTCGTTCGCTCAAGGCTGTGTCGTCCCCTGTGCGCTTTCGACCGCTGCCGCGGCGTTGTATCAAAAGGAAGATCTTCATCTTCAACATCCTTCTGTGACTCCCAAACCTACCGGCAAGTTTCTCTTGGTATGGGGCGGCGCGTCTAGTGTAGGTAGTTGTGCTATCCAACTGGCTAAGGCTTCAGGCTATGAAGTCGTGACCACCGCCAGTCCACAGAACCATGAACAGTGTCTTCGTCTCGGTGCGTCCAAGGTGTTTGATTATCACAGCAAATCTGTGAAGGATGAGATAGTCCAGGCTCTGAGCGGTGTGGACTTTGCGGGCGTCCTGGACTCGATCTCCAAGCAGCCAACCGTGCAGATGTGTGTGGATATTGTATTCGCGTTGAAGCAGGACAAGAAAGTCATGACCACAAACCCCGTCCCAGAAGAGATGTCACTTCATGGAATTGAGGCTAAAGCAGGTAAGGCTGACACTTACTGGGTTTGATGAATTTAACTGACTCGTAAATAGTGCTGGCAGGGACCATCGTAGAGAATGAAGTCAGCAAAGCTATTTACCGTGATTTCCTGCCTGAGGCGTTGAAGAAAAAGATCTTCCAAGCTACACCAGAGCCGTTGGTGGTTGGCCATGGATTGGAGTCAGTTCAGGTTGGATTGGACAGAGTGCGGCAAGGCATGAGTGCTCAAAAGGCCGTCGTGATGTTGTGAGAATCCCTAAAAAGGCGATCATTATAGGAAATATAGCATAATGAGTTTCAATGCCCATGCATTGCCAATTGCCCCTCTTCATATTGCATATTGAAATATAGAACTCTCAAGGTCTGAACTACCCACGTACATTGTGGGAATAAAAAACCATTTGTCATAAATTTTGTAAATTACCATACATATTAAACTCTATTTCCATGTCTCCATGTCCTATGTCAAGACTTTTCATATTGCTGGATAGTTTCCCTTTCAAACCACAATGTCGGTCAATATGGATAATCCAGAGCCTTCCGGATATGGGTTTAATTCATCTAGATACTTCATCATCTCGTCCATGTACATTGCTTTGTTTGCTGGTTCGTCGTCGTCCTTCATTCTCTCGTTTTACGCTAACTAGACGATACAATTAAGAAACCTTCCTTTTTGGCTTCATTGTTCCAATCCTTGGATATATGCTCGAAGACCGTCTACACTTGGATCCCTCGCATACCCAAAGTCTCACCACTGCGCTGCTCACAATCCACGGTTTTGTCTCCCTGATCTCCGGTCCCATTATCGCCCACTTTGCGGACAAAACGCCAAGCAAGAAGATCCCGCTACTTTTTGCTCTGACCGGATGTCTTATAGGCACAATTCTCGTCGCCTGCACTCCTTCACGTATGTTTCATCTCTATAATCAGGGTTGTGCGAATTTAAGCTGACCATTCGTGCTTCGGGTCGCAATTCAGTATGGGCGCTCTTTTTAGGACGAATCATCCAAGGTGTCGCAGGATCTGCTACATGGGTTATTGGCCTAGCTACGATAACTGATATCACGAGTAACGACAAAATGGGACAGGTTATGGGTACTGCCAGATCCTTCGCATCAACAGGCGTCGTTGGAGGACCCATGGTCGCCGGTGTGCTACTTCAACTGTTTGGATACTGGCCAGCATGGTCCGTCCCGATGGCGGTGCTTGTCTTGGACATGGTCGCCCGTCTCATGATCCCCAACCAACCTGCCAGCTCCCCCGGGTCCGGCTCCTCTGCCACAGACGTTCCCCCAGATGAGACCACCTCCTTACTTTCCGAATCCTCTGACGTTAATCAAGCCCCCGAAGCTGGTCCATCAGTCGAATGCTTGGAGAATGCATCAGGTCGTGGTTTTTACAGCATTATGCTTCGCGATCCTAGGGTCCTGTCCGGTCTCTTAAACAGCCTGACCACTTCTGCCGTCGTTGCTGGGTTTGATACTACTCTTCCTTTACATGTGCGTAACGCATTTGGCTGGGAGAGCTTACCTGCTGGGATGATGTTTCTTTGCCTGCAGATTCCTGCCATCCTATTGGGTCCTGTGGCCGGGTCGATTCGAGACCGACATGGTGTCCGATCTATTACTTTTTCCGGTTGGGTTATTCTAACTCCGCTGTTCGTTCTCCTGGGTATGCCCGGCGACAGTCGATTTCCGTGGGCTAGTGAAGAAGCCGGGACAGCCATTCACCTGGCATCCTTGTCCGCGATTGGCCTTTTCCTCTGCTTGGTGCGTGGTTCGGGTGGTCAGCAAATGTCAGGTAAGTCTGGTGTCATTTTTGACTTTCTATCGCCTTATACCCATATCACATGCTGACACGTATCTTAGCCCTCGCCAAAGACCTTCAGGCCAAGAATCCCCTCATCTTCGGGGCCCATGGGGGATCATCCCGTGTTTCCTCGCTGTACGGGGTTTCTTTCAGTCTTGGGTTAATGCTGGGACCTTTGATCTGCGGATCTTTAGTCGATGCTGTTGGATACTTCTATATGAACGTAATAATGGGTAAGACTGCTAGTTTTATTCCCCTCGACTTCCATTGACTAACTCTATTGTAGCATTTATCTGCCTCGCCAATGGCGCCTCATCCCTCTTCTTTATGGAGGGCAAAGTGCCCAAAGAATGACAATAATGTGTCTGCTTGAGATTGATGGCCTAACCCTGCTAGCCACCTGCCCAATGCTGGCTCATACTATATATAACGTGCTCTATCAACATACCAAAATTTCTCGACATAATAATGCCATGTTTATATATATTCTGAGAATAATGATTGTTTTTGTGTTCATCAATATTAATGAACCATGAGAGCTCTGATTACGTACTCGTCATGATATTAGGTTGGCTAGGCGTCATTTGAGATTTTGGGCCTTGTGAATCATTTCTGGGACTCGTATCTAGCTTGTTTTCTATTGCCTTGTAAGTTGTTTCGGTATGTTATTTCACGTTTTCAATTTCAGTACATGTAATACATACGCTCGTAATCTTTCAAGGCCTAAGGTAAATATATGGTTGTAATTTATTCGTGCCGTCCCGCCATGGATCCACAGTTCCACCATGCATTTGCAAGATTCCTGAAGAAACTTTGAAACAAGCTGAACTGTGGGGCAACTCTGGAGTATCTAGGTGCGATACAGCACACAATATGCATATGTACCGATGCGATCTGAAATCGTGTACTGATCCAAGCCACTTCCCGAGGTCCCTGAACTACCTACATTAAATGAGATGTAAAAGGTATATATCGTTGCCCCACATAGTATTGCCCAATGTAAATGTAGATCATGTTTCTATGTGGTAACTGAATGCGTGATTATTCGACGTAATTGTGACAGAGCTGGAGGTACACAGCTTGCGACGTCCTGAAATGAACCTATGCATATCCACTTTGAGCTATTAGTCCACATCGAATTAAGACTTTGCAGGTTAGTGTTCTTCGCTACCCAGTGCTGAAGAATTAGGCCGAACAAATCCGAACTGATTTGATTTTATCTTTACTTTTTAGCTGCCCGATCACACTACTCGCTGTCTCAGTGTTATTAACCGACGATCCAAATATTTCCCACCCCGACGTGAGCCGTTCCCCAAATTTCTCAAACCTAACTCATAATTCCCAATTCAACAATTCAACAATTCAATACAACAGCTCGCCCCAATAGTATGTCCACTTGTCCTCCCCCTGCATCTAACGAATTGCAAAACTGCGTGTCTAACACGTCTCGCAGTGGATACCCCGGAAATCAAAACATCCGCCATTGAATGGCTTCAGCAATATCACGCAGCGGGTGATGCCCTCAATCCCGATGTTTCCGTTCCCAAATTCTACACCCCAGACTGCGTGATGCGCTTTCCAGGACAGCCTCCCTTGCAGGGTCACGACGCCATTAAGGGTTTCTTCAAAAAGCAATTCTCCCTTCTTGATAGCATGACACATACAATTGGCCATGTGGATGTGTTGCCGGATCGGATTTACCAGGAGGCCAAGATTGAATATGTAGTCAAGGGGGATCTGGAGCAGAAGATCATTAAGATCGACGGCCTTGCAGTTTTCGGTAGACGAGTTGGAGAAGACCAGATGAGCTTTTTCACTGTCTATTTGGATCCTCGTCCGTTGTTAGAGAGGAAGCAAATGGTTTCTGCGATGGGCAATTAGGTTTGTAGATATGTACTCTCTATCTTTGTTCTTGGTCTATCATGGCCAGGGCCACGGATATGGACCTCGACTGGTTGAAGGAATAATAGAAATAATGCATACCAACACCACTTACGAGATACTACTATGTACCTAGGTATATAAGCTAGTAATGTACTAATGTTTGCCTGCATACGCAGCACAATACATACGTATGAAATATAGAAAGCATTCGAAGCGTGCAGAGTACAAGATACCCATTTATATAACGCAGAAAAAGATGCGAAGATCGACACGAAAAGAGCCGAAATAAGAACTATAATTATGCCAATTAGCGATGTCTCATAGATAAAATTCGAAGGTTAGGGTTAGACTGACCAGTCCATTTTGCCTTATTACTTCATTTTCACCCGCTGGTTTCTATAGCACTTTCGAGATCAGTTCAACTTATCATCCAGACAACACGATGGATAATCCATTTCTCTTTAATATTCCCTTCGCAAAGGAAATTTTTGTCGTGACTCCCTTCCTTTATTTTGTCGCACTGGTATTTTATCGACTCTACCTTCATCCTCTGTCCAAATATCCTGGTCCCAAACTGGCAGCTGTTTCCTGTCTATACAGAGCTTATCACCAGACCTGGCGAGATGGGCGTTTGGTAGAACAATTAACTTACCTCCATGAAGTCTATGGTAAGTTATCCTTATTCTTCATTTTCCTCTATCACCGCTCTAACCGCTTGTTACAATAGGCCCGGTTGTCCGAATCACACCAAACACTGTGCGTGTCATCGCTTAAACAAAATCGTCGATAAATTGACTAATCCGTTCTTCAGCTGCACTTTCGCAACCCCCAAGCATTCCATGATATCTTCTCGGCACAGAACAAGACAGTCAAAGATCAAGAGTTCTACCATCATCTCGGGCTGCCCGACTCCTCGTTTAGACTTGAAGGAGAAGAGCATGCCGCGCGATTGAAGCTCATGTCCCCTCTCCTCGGTCGCAATCATATGGACGATATTCAAACTATTGTCCGTCGCAATGTATGTTGTATCTCCTTTTAGTAACTAAAAGAGAATCGAGAATCTCACCTTCTGTAGGTACAACGATTCTGTGACCTGCTGCAACGTAGCGTGGAAAATCATCAGCCCATTGAGCTAGCATTGGGATACCGTGGCCTGGCATTGGATATAATCAATGAGTTTATATTTGCCGTCATTCCTGACAGACTCCGCGGACTCGAAAACGAGAAGTTCCGTAATCCGCTCGCAATGTCAACATATTACAGCTTCGATTGGACTATGTGGCTCATGAGAAACTTCCCAGTGACCTGTCATTTCCATGACTTCGCGAGGTATCTTCCCTCCAGTCTCAAATTCAGTTACGACCAACGGAATGTGATGACAGAGGTATTTTCCACTCATCCCCTGCGCCTCCATCTTGATTGTCCTTCGTGTTGACTGTTGCATAGTTAATGACTAATATTCTGCACTATAATCTTTCGTCCTCTGAGATGAATGATAGAGCCACTCTTATTGGCAACATGACGAAGCCAGGCAGTGAAAGAAATGGCAAACCGCTCCCAGAATCAGCTCTTCTGGATGAAGCAATCGGAGTGATGCATGGTGGAGTTCTTGATATCTCCAACGTCCTGCCTTATGGGACTTTCCACTTAGCCCAAGATCCCAAAGCACAGCATAAGCTGTATGAAGAGCTCAAAAGTGTCTGGAAGAACCCATCGGATCAAATTCCAGACCATGAAATTCTCCGAAACCTTCCCTATTTGGTAAGTATCACTTGGACCACGATGGAAATTTTTGCGTTCGACATGTCACTAAATGTTGATTAGAAAGGCTTAGTTAAGGAAACCCTTCGCTTTACACACGGCGTCATTTCCGGCATGCCTCGTGTGGTCACAGCGAACGGTGCTCAGATTGATGGAAATTATGTCCCACCTGGGGTATGTGCATTAAAAATCCGATCGTCGTTATGATAAACAATAACCGTTTCTGTTTCTTTAGACCATTGTTGCCACCACTTCCGTCTATGTTCACATGGACCCGACCGTCTTTTCAAACCCTAAACAATTCTCTCCTGAGCGATGGGCGACGGGCGATTCCCAGCTTGAGAGGTCTCTCGTTCCTTTTTCCAAAGGACGGAGAATGTGTCCTGCCCAAAAGTAAGTGAACTACAATTCCATGCTGCAGGTACCGACCTAACAGCTGATCGGTTTAGTATATCATACATGGAAATAACTGCCGCGTTTGCTGCTGTGTTTCGCAGGTTTGAGGTTTCTCTGTACGAAACAACGTAAGCCATCCACTCCGGCCCGGTATTCTGTGAATGACCTTGCTAATATCTGGATAAAACGCAGCGAGGAAGACATGAAGTACAAGGCGTATGCTTCTATACACTACACTGGACGACCCCTGCGAGCAACGCTCAAGCCTAGGCTTGATTGAAGGCGTTTGCCAATTTATTCTGTATTTATTCTCCACAGAGCACCAGAAGAGGACCAGCGGAGGAGTTCACTGTCAACATGTTCCAATTTGACTGGTATCCTCACGGGTTGACTATATTAAATTGATCTGACGGGTACAGTATATAAGATATGCCCTTATCACTCGAGTCTGTCTCCCAAAAGTGGTTCAGTCTCTCCGCCGACATCATCTTTAGCATCATGGACCTTGCCACTCAACCATAGCATGGGAATTGCTGTTACAAAGGCAAGCAAGCCCAGAGTCCATGCCATAGTCTTCCATCCAAAATGATACTCAATAAACCCACCCCACAGCGGACCAAAAAACAATCCAATGAATTGGGCCATCGTCTGCAAGCTAAATGCCTGCGCTATAGCACCTTTAGGGCCTGTAATTCCTGGCCTTTTGCACTCCATGTCGTCCAGGACAGCCTGGGACTCCACGTACAAAGCAGGGAGACCCACGTTTATGAAAAGACCAGTCAAACATAAAAGAGCAACCAGGGTAGCAATGTGAGGCCAGGAATTATGTTCAATCAAAGAAAGGCAGATTAGAGTCGGACAAAGGAGGATGAATCCAGTAAATGCCATAGCCCGTGGACCATAATGGTTACAAATAGATCCTATATAGGTTAACATTTGCACGTCGTGTGGTGGCTAACAGACATACCAAAATAAGGGCCCATAAGTGATGTAAAAGCACTTGGAAGGAAAATCAAACCGGCTCCCACTGGGGACCAGTGGAATGTAGACTCAACAAATATGGGGAGGGTCTGGCGAGGTCAATATAGATTCCTCGTTTTTTTTTTTTTTTTTTAAAAAAAAGGTGGAGTTGGAAAGCAACTCACGGCATCAAAAGCAGAAAAAAAAATCCCGATTACGAGAAGAGCCCAAAGGGTGATGAGGATTCGCGGTTGCCGGATGAGGTTGAGCAGAAGGAAACCTCCTTCGTTAGTGGAGGAACATTGATCGGGATTTCCGGTGATGTGTTGATTATTATCATCAGGTGATTCTGTATCAGTATCAATCCAACTCTCCATGACCTTTTTCTCGATCAACAGAACGCGGAGGATAAAATCGACACCGACAAGAACAGCAGCCATCACAAAAACTGCTTCATATCCAAAGTGGGTGTATATTAGCCCACCTAGAAATGGGCCTAGTACAAAACCCAACGCGCTGGCAGAACCCAAATACCCAACTGCAATGCCTAATCGATCCTTGTCAAAGGAATCCGTGGCTAGGGCAAGCCCAGCGACCGCTACCATTGCCGTCGCACCGCCCTGGAGCAGCCGCGCGATGATGAAAATAGACAGTGTTTTTGCGAAAGCGAGGAGAATCATTGAAGCGCCAAGTAGGGTGAGTCCAAAAAGATAGGGAAGTTGACGGGTGCCTGAAATATCAACCAGAAACCCGAAAATGGGACAGCAGGTTACAGACACTGCAGCTTCACACATCAAGAGGACGCTGACCCAGTATTCACCTGTTTCCAATGATTAGATATTTCCGCTAGATTGTGCTGCTTCGATCTTCAACTGACGGTGTTCGAAGGGAACTCCAGCGCGCGTCACCAGCGCTGACGGCATAACAGGCACTATCTAGAAAGTTATGAACTCCATGCAAAAGCCAAGTCGATTCCGAGGGATCTTTCAACTTACCATAGCATAGAGAAAGAACTCCTAGGTAAGAGTCAGCTATAATTCGATGGGGATACACGGAGGTCCTTACTGTGAATGTTGACATTGAGACTGTGGACATGATGAAGATAGTCGATGACCTCCATCTTAGACCCCACGGAGGGTTTCCCTGTTTTCGGTTGCCGGACATATTGATGAAAGCAAGTCTCACCCTGCTAGTAGTGGAGGTGGTGGGTTGGAATTGAACCAGAAGCTTAATGAGAGGTAAAATAGACCAGTTATACGCAAATCAGAATGGGCTGTTGTATATTTCAGGGAGATTTCAGAGAGACATAATATTGATAAATCGATAGTTAGGTATTTTATACGAACAGACGATGACTAATTGCAGAGATTCCCCTGGGCCCAGGACTAGTCCTGCAGGCACCTCCAGGATATGATAGATCTCTCGCTCTGTCTCTCTCTCTCCCCGTCAGCCCTCTCGTTTATGAATGCATATTCTTTCTTATCAGATCATCGATTGAGTCGCATTTGCCAGACTGAGCTTAGTAATTTTCGTATGGGATCTCGCAGACCTAACGTCCACCTTGGAACGGGGTTTCCGACACTCACACTGTCTTCCACGGTAGAATACCCAAAGCAGCGCAAACTGGCCTAGAAAACGGTGATGCACAGCATAAAATTGAGCTGTGTCCATATACCAAGGCAATATACCTTGCGTAAGAATGGTATATGCACCCTGCAAGGAATGAGGTAGCCGACGTGCGGGTGCGTACATCTTCGATGGGAACAGGAATTGTCGAGAAAATATACCACTAAATCACAAGGCAGGCAAACTCCGACGAACTAAATCCGATGAACTCCGAATCCCCTTAGCATCGGAGATGCTCCTGAGTTCGGAGAACTGTGACCCGATTTCTCCGAGCCGCCTAAACCCCGATTTTCGTCACTCACGCCACAGTCCGTTTCTCCGAAACACACTTATCGATTTTATCCATTTTACAATGCCTATCGGACTTCCAACTCCGTGTACGAGGTAACTTCTAGAATACAATGAGCCAAAGCTCCTCAACCCGCGATGGGCTGGGTCGAGCGGAAAGCCCTAGATCTCCTTATCGCCGAAAGCGGAAAGTCCTCAGCTGTGAGCATTGCCGATGCTCCAAATTAAAGTGTGATCGTCAACAGCCTTGTGGTGCTTGTACGCGGCGAGGATGCGAGCTGTCGTGCTCATTCTTGACCACCCCTACTGTCCCGACTACATCCACTAACGTTCATCGAACAACGTCCAATCCCTCATCGTCAAATGTGCGACCCAGGAAAAGGCCTGCCGCCCCCTCAGGCCCATTGAGGCAACATGTTGCTAGTTATTCAGGCGGTCGAGCTGAGCGGTTGGGACCTGACGAAAATCAAGATTCCCAAGATAGTCGCTGGGAAGCGGTTCTTCAACGGCCGTGTCCGGAAGATGATCCTGTCGTAGCAACCGACACTTTATCACCCTTTTCAGTTGGCCCGAGTATCTCGCTTCGGGATATTATTGATATTTTACCCTCTAGAACCAGCTGCGACTGTCTGGTTTCTCATTTTTTCAATCATATCTCTGCTCTATTCCCCATTCTCCATGGCCCAACATTCCAGAAGCAGTATGTTGCCTTTATGCAACACCCCTATGAAGTTGATCTGTCTTGGCTGGCCTTACTCTTTTCCATGTGCTCTTTGACATTGAATACTATGGAGCCAAGTGATCCTAGGCTGGTGGATTTATGGCCAAAAGGGTCTCATTTCCAGGAGCAAGAGGCTGTGACTTTGTCCCGTCGGCTTCAGCAAACTGCAATGGTTTGTCTTGTACAAGATCAATTTTTTATCCGACATAAACTTAGCACATTCGAGGCTTTGCTGATGGTGATATATAATCTTTCTCACAACGAGTCTGTCGATCAAGGGTGGGCCTTGTTGGGTATGGCCTTAAACATCGGCATAGCCCTACGGTGCAATGTTGACACCCAGGGACTTAATCATCTCGAGACTGAGAGACGCCGACGCTGCTGGGTTGGCATATTGACGCTACATACCTATCAAGCCATTCTCTTTCGGGATATCGACATGTCATTCCTTCTTGATATAAAATGTACAATGCCCGCAGATGTCAATGATGGTGATATTACCCAAGAGGGGATCTCGCAGCCATCTAGTTCGCCCACGCAGATGTCTGTGATGATGTTCAAAGTCCGGCTTTTCCGGATCTCCACTCAGATCTGTCACCACATATCTGGTCCCTCGCGACTTGAGGCAGAGCCGTTGGGGGAATTTGATGCGATAATCGCCGAGGAACAACAGAGATGGGACTCGACATATTTGGTGGATGGTGCCCCAAACATATTAGATTCCAGTTACGCCTATTGGTGCATTCTACAAACCTATGCACATCAACTTTACCTTCTTCTACATCGCCCTTTTCGCCATTCTCAGTCACCATGCTTCCTTGCAACATCCAGAGACAGGTGCATAACCTCCAGTGCCGCCTTACTTGGCATCCATCGTCAGATCTACGAAGTTCCACTGCTTCGGCCCTATCTATGGTTGCTTAGAGGTGTTACGAGCTTGAAGGCGCTTCATGCTGCTGTGGCACTCAATTCCTGCCTTCTGGATATGCCATCATCTTTTGAATCGGGCTCGTACCGGGAGGAGTTAAACAAACTCGTGCTTCGAATGGAGAGCCTTTCTCGTCGAAGTGCAATATGCTTGAAAGCGCATCGCATACTTCTTCAATTACAGTAGGTTATACTTCATCGTGATGGCAAGTTCAGCTGAATGACTTCTTCCAGAACTCAATTCGGCGCAGCAGACCAGCAACCGGCGGATTCGGGAACTCGGTTCGAGAACAGAATTGAAGACTGGACCGATATGCGGGAATGGTTTGGGGCGGATCTTTTCAACTGGGTAAGATATAGAATCTGTGGTTTCTTGACTCCGTACTAATTTGTTCAGAACTTGGATAGCGTTGGCAATCTTCCCGCTGTTTGATGTCTTTACATTGGACATCTCTGGCGATTTTTCAGATGGTTGTCAAACTTGTTACGCCACACTAACTAGTCATTAGATGGACGAAATCCTTAGGAAAACACGAAAGGGAATTCTTGGTGGGTAGATACAATTTGTCGGGTTCAAAATCGGAGATATCATCATTCCGTATCAGAACATTTGCAGAGTTTCGTAGGTAACGATATTTCCACTGAGAGCAGCATGTATCAGCCTTGTAATATGATCAAAGGCTCAAGCTGAGAAGCTGTAGGTCATTCTTTTGATGGCAAAATTTAGAAGTCCGATCACCAGATACGATTCGGCCGAGACTAACTCGGAGTTCAAGTGTATCGGACGAAACTGTGCGTTATCCCTATGTCCGATGCGATGGAATCCGGAGTTTGCTGATAAATAGTAGGTGCCACCGCGATGAAGTGGAATAAAATGAACATATCAACAGCTGCGCTACGATCCACAGCCCACATTTCTGCCTTTGGCTTTGAAAAAAAAACAAGCACTTAAATCCGATAGCTTTAGGGCCCAATATGATAGTTAAAATTTTAGTGGCTATATAATCCTAACTTGTCCGGTTTTCCACTGCCTGTCTTCAAATGTTTCACGATAATGGAATCTCTCTTTCAATATCAACGTATCAGACAATCTGTTCGTGACCAACTAGCTGAAATCAAAGAAAAATGCAGCTGTGAGAATTATACACTTGGGTCACTACATAGCTCGAGGTAAGTGATGGCTCAAACGAATCTTTGCAAAATTTATATTTTCCAGCCATGCTAATGATCAATTATCCAGCTGTGACTTAAGCAATGTCTCGCTTTCTGTTCCGCCGAGCAAATCCTCGCTCCAAGAAAAATCCCCCACCAATGCCCTCATCATTGTGGACTGGGATAGTAACAATGATCCTTTGAACCCTGCAAACCAAACCGTGTCGCAGAAGATGTTTATGACCCTTCTCGTCACTTTGATTGCTTTTTCTGTAACCGCTGCGTCCGCGATTGATGCTTGCGGCATCCGACAATACAGTGAATACTTCAATGTATCCGAAGTAGTTGGGTCTCTTGCGACAGGTAAGTATAGGCTTTTAAAATGATCATCACTTTTTTGTTGCACAAAAAGCTGATTTTGCCAATAGGTTTATTTCTGGTCGGTTTTGGGACCGGCTCTCTCCTTTCAGGCCCGTTCTCCGAGACGTTTGGCCGGAACGCCGTCTACCTAACAACCATGGTCATTTTTCTGATATTTATCATGGCCGCAGCACTCGCTCCAAATCTCCACAGCCACCTTATCTTTCGTTTTCTTGCCGGTTTCTTTGGCTCTACTCCACTCACCTGCGCTGGAGGTACGGTAGCGGATTTGTGGAGTCCATTACAAAAGACGTACGCTTTTCCAGCCTACGCTATTCCATCATTCGTGGGGCCAATGGCCGGGCAGATTATGGGCAGCTATATTCCTATTCATTTGGGATGGCGTTGGCTTGAGTGGATTATGCTTATTATGGGGGGTGCGGTTCTTCTTGTTATTCTTCTGCTCCAGCCAGAAACATACGGACCTCTCATTCTATATTGGAAAGCAAAGATTCTCCGCCAAGAAACTGGGGATGCCAGATACAAAGCTCCGATGGAGATGAAAAACGAAGCTTTAGGCCGGCGACTGCTGGTCTCGGTATATCGGCCATTTGCGCTGGTTTACTCCGAGTTGATTATCATCCTGATGTCCCTCTACCTTACTGTTATCTATATTGTCCTCTTCACCTTTCTGGAAGGATATACATATATTTTTGGAGATACATATGGGCTTTCACAGGAGATGACTGGCATACTCTGGGTGGGGATGCTATGTGGCATTCTTCTTGTCGGTTGCCTGGTTCCGGTAGTATACTCTTGGACTGCCAAAGAGTACAAGAAGACTTCTACTATTGCTCCTGAAACACGACTGTGGTATGCAATGTTGGGTGGTGCTCCGGCGGTGCCAATAAGCTTGTTCTGGATGGGTTGGACCAGCTATGTAAGTGTCCATGATTTGTTCGTCGTTGTTTCGGTTACTGACTTCCGCGCTCTCTGGATTTTCAGCCGTCCATCTCAATTTGGTCACCTATCATTGCCTCCGCCTTGTTTGGATACGGAATCACTACTATTTTCATTGTCACGTACATGTATATCATAGATTCCTATGGTGTATACTCAGCATCTGCATTGGGCTTCCTTGTTTTTACCAGATATGTTGTGGCAGGCGGCATGACGGTTGCTGGTGGGCCTATTTACCGTTCTATCGGTGTTCATTACACTCTGACTATCTTGGGGGCCATCAGTACAGTCATGGCCGCAATTCCATACTTGCTATATGTCTATGGGCCGACACTCCGCAAATACAGCAAATTTGCTGTCAACGTTGGTGCAGATTAATGCTTGAAACTCGGCAGACCTCATGGAAAGCACTTTGCTTCAAGCATAACTTTATGAATTTAGCAGAAGGTTGCTGAACAAAACTTCTATTGGAGTTATTAGGGCGCCTGATAAAATAATAGACAGTTTATGCAAACAAAACCATGCCTAATCTTATGTACTTTTTGTATGGAATCCAGCACGGGATTAAGTCTACATTAAGTGGATGTGTACAACTTCGATAAAAACAGGCCTTGTCAAGAAAATGTATGAGTAGAGCAGAAAGTGGCAATGACAGCTTTCTTAATCTATATGGTCATTTCCTCCAAGTCGTCTTTAGGTAACTAGCCATGGAGGGCCAGGGTCAAGCGTGGATTATGTAATATCCCGTGATCAAGTCGGAGATCAAAAAGCGGCAAGAGGTGAGGACTGAAATGGAAAGACATTATCCGGTCATATTAGCCACTCCGTTGTTTTTTTTATGCGGGGGACAACTAGCCTTCTCAATACACCACATTCTTCCACCGAATACTATCAATGGAGTAAACCGGGCACTGTCTGACTCAACCTTTCTAAGAGATATCTCAACCCCCCAATTGTACCCGAAAGAAACCGCCATCATGACCTATTCAGCGCCCGCATCCAACCCCGCAACCTCCGCGAAGCCTAAAGTCAAGAACATCCCCAATCCGCGCCGTCTCTTAGTCCTCACACCAACCACCCAATCCCTCTCAATAATCCCCCCACTCCTACATTCCCTAACTGGTGTCCCCGTCGTCGACCCGCCACAACAGCCAGCCCCTTCACCAACCTCTAGCTCAACACCCCCACCACCAACAAGCACCTTCGCCGGCTACACAACCCACAGCCCTCTCCGGCTCGAAACAAAATACTACACAACCGAAGTCCCTGTGTGGGTCGATGAGATCCCGCTCGCGATCCACGACCCAGACACGCAAAGCACTACCACACCAGCACCAACAGCCGAGCAATGGAAAACGGAATTCCTAAGCACAGAAGCCGAGATCGTGCGCGAGGCGGTTGGGGCTCTGGTTGTGTGCGCGCATACTCCTAGCGATGTGACACCTCCACCAGGATCCAATGCAAACGCAGACCCCGCGGAGCGGCCCGATGTGCGCGCACTGTGTGACCTGATGCGCGGCATTGGCGCTGTCAAGGAGCGCATTGACGAGGAGCGCGGCGGGCTCGGTGATGTTCCTGGTGTGTTTGTGTTGATTGGAAGTCGGAAGGGTGCTGCGGGTGCGGCTGCGGGTCAACAGGGACCCAAGGATCCCGATGCGGAGCTGGGGCTTGGTGTTGATGATGAGGATTTAGGTGGTGGGGAGACGGTGCCGTTTTCGGTTGGGTGGTGGGAGGATCAGTTTTTTGATATGGGGTTGTTGGGGTGGGAGGTTGTTGAGTGGGATCCTAAGGAGGTTTTGGAGGTGGAGACGAGGAATCAGTACGGGGGTGAGTTTACCGAAGCAAGCTTTTGTTTATTAGGTTACGTGGCAAGATTTTGGATTTGGGCTAACTTTATGCTATTACTAGAACGTGAGGGTATGCCTCGTATTAAAGAGGTCCTCGAGACTCATGACTGGTCTATGGTTGGAGGTGACTCTGGCTTTGACGGAGATAATGACCCTGACGTGGATTCCGAGGATGATCTTCACGACCAACTATTAGGTCTGGATGGCTCTCGTGGGTTTGGTGATGAAGTCCATGAATTAGAGCGTGAAATGTTCGGTTTGCGTATGGCAATTGAGCGTGGAGGTGGTGATGGTGATGAGAGAAATGACTCTGATCATGATGATGACGAGGATGAGATTGATGTCGAGAGCATGGAGGCATTGATGATGCGCATGCAGGCAATTAAAGGTATGATTCTGTGTTAATTACTCGGCCTTGCTATAGTTAACATTGCGGTGTACTAACTCGGTTACTAGATATGAGCTCCGAGCTGCCGGAGAGTGAACGGAAACGATTTGCTGCGAAGGCCGTGCAGGATATTATGCGCGAGCTCTGAGATTGCTGGTTATTCTACACAAATTCCAATCTCGGTATTCGAATAATCATGTTCTAATCCAATATACCATGTGGACAAATATCCATAATCCCCTGGCTATATATAGAAGTGTCCGCTGTACAGTTTGTGCTTTTAAGGCTCCATAACATATAAAACGACATATAAAGACATATCGGGAAAGGATATCGAAAAACACCTCGAGTGGTCTTACATATAACCTCCTTGATATCATGTGGGATATAGATCCAGCCACAAACCGAGCCACACCGCCGCGAAATGCCGAGACCGATTCCATCCCGTGCGCTTCTCTGACGTCAGGATATTCCAAGGTTCCAAGGCACCTTCACAAAATGAGCTGTGTTTTATGCATGGATCATCCTGGCTAGCTTATTGCTTGGGCAATTCTTGGCTTCCTACATCATCTTCTCCATTCCCCACACGTGTACTCCGTACTTGAAACGCCGCTTCGTCATGCCTTGAGTCTCCTACGCGAACTCAACCTTATTAAATTCCTACGGTCTGCAACATATTCTCTCTCATTTTACATGCGACGTAAACATACACAATAAGCAATTGAACGAAAAAAAAAGGATCTTCCCTTTTCAGAATGCATTTCCCGGCACGGAATTGCGCCCCTATCGTGTCGGCGGCGACGGGGAGGATATCACAACGCGGTGCCCCGTACGCCTTGTTAGGGAAGATTGGCTCGGCGGGGCTAAATAGCTGGGGTGGGAACGGGTCTGGCATTGCATCTAGACATATCCGTTCATTCTCAGGGAGGTGTCTCGGCAGAGGTATTGGTCTCAGAGCTCATAGTGCGTCACCGGTAACGAAGCCGGGATGTGCTACGCCGGTTGCACGTCCACGAGATCATCTTGCATGGATTCAGACGAGAAAATTCAGCAATGCAGATCATACACAAGTCTCAGGCGATAATCAGAAGACAGAGGAGCTTTTAGAGAAGTTCGAAGTTCAAAAGGGCAACCAAGAAGCTCGACCTCAGCGGACAGTTCTTAGTGAGAATGGTGAAAACGGAAAGTCTCCGACGGAAGGAGCGAAGTGGCCTGAAAGGATGACCAAAGGTAAGAACGTGCTGCTATGGCTGATTACTTCAAGTATCAATGCTGACTTTCAAGGATAGGTAAAATATTGACGACGCCATCGCGGCTTTTCAAATTGATAATCCCTTTAACGACCATCGACAATGGAGGCCATGATAAAGGTATGTTAATCCTCAACATATTCTCCGGACATCAGTTGGCCATCATGCTAACAGCTCAATCAGAAATCGAACCTATAGCTATCCTAGTCCACCCCCAACAACCACTATCATACCTAGAGCGCCTGATCCAGTCCGAACTACCCCCAATTAAAGGCAGCACCGAGAAGCTCCGCCCACCAGCCATATCTTTCGTCGCACTCCAGCACGATGACAACGCAATCAAGCCCAAGAAGCGAATCGAAGATGAGATCGACTTAGACGCAAACCAAGCTAAAGAAAAGGAATTCATCCCCAACAACGACGGCGTTGGCGGCAGCAAACCACTCAATGGCAGATCACCTACCCAGCACTGCTGGTCCCGAGAAGAGGACGTCGAAACCTACAGCTACCCACGCAACACGTACGGCACCCAGCCCCAAAACGGCGAACCCGAGCGCTTTGTGCGCTGGTCACAAGCCACAGAGATAGGCGATTTCATCCGGGATGCTGCACGCGCGGGCGAGTTCATCGTGACGATCGAAGGCGCGCCATCCGGGCTAAGCCAGATTCGCGTCACGGTACCGTCATTCAACGAGCGCACGTATTACCTCCGCTTGCGGCTGCGCAAGCTCTCGCGGCGCATCCAAACCATGGCGGGTGTGAAGGAAGAGTGTGATGCGCTGGCACATCGGGGTGCGCAGCGGGTTGCGATAGGCGGGTTTGGAATTCTTGCCATTTGGTGGTTTACGGTGTACAGGTTGACGTTTGAGACTGATCTCGGGTGGGATACTATGGAGCCTGTGACTTACTTGGTCAGTTTGTCTACGTTGATGGGGGGTTATTTGTGGTTTTTGTATCACAATCGGGAGATTTCTTACAAGTCTGCGCTAGATTTTACAATCAGTGCTAGGCAGAAGAAGCTCTATCAGTTGCATAAGGTTGATTTGCAACTTTGGGAATCCTTGATCGATGAGGGGAACTCCCTTCGTGGGGAGATTAAGAATATCGCGGCTGAGTATGATGCTGAGTGGAATGAGCGAGCTGATGAGCAGGATAAGCGTGTAACAGAAGTCTTGAAGTCAGAGCGCCGGCAGAAGCAGGACAAGAAGAAGGATTCGGATGATAAGGATGATGAGGATGATGACTGATTGTTTCGATCTACTTGTCATTCTCCCCACGTGAATGTACTCTACATTCCATGCCATTCCTGGTCATCCGATGGTCTTCAAGTTTCATACTTCAATTATACAAGATAGATATTAAATAGAGAAGCGAAAAAGAAAAAGAAAATCAGAACCCCCAAGAAAACACCTCCAACCCCAAGATATCACAGTGTCCCATTTCGCACAGGATCATAGTACTTCTTCGGCTGCGTCGTCTCCTCCTGCCTTGTGCGTTTATCTATAAACATCCATTAGCATCTCCACCAATAAAGCATACCCAGCCAGCCAGCCTCAAGGTAGAAAAGCATAATACATACCAGACTCCGAACCTGCAGAACCACCAGTCTCTCCCTTTCTCCTATTCCTATTATTCCTCACATCCCGCGACCGAAAAACGCTATACAACAGCCAGCCGGCGACCCAATTCGGACCGTATTCGCCATTCGTCGCCCCGCGCTCAAACAAGCCGCGTACAAGTGGCGGAGCATTGTGACAGATCTCGAGAATCGCCCAGCGCTGGCAGTCTGGGCGGATGTGGTGCCAGAAAAAGGGGGGGCGGGTTGCTGGGTCGGCGCGCACGTTGTCGAGGAGGTTTGCGGTGTCGAGGTTCATGCGGTTGTAGACAATGATTGCTTCGTCCTGGGTTGGGATTTGTTAGCGGGCTCATGGGATATGTATGGTGCATACGTGTATATGGCAGGCGGGAGAGGAAGAGGCAAGAAGAGGGAGGATAAATGTTAACTGTCTAGGTTGTACTTACTCGCATGGCGCGGTAGTATTGTTCATGATGGGGGTCTTGTGGGTTTAGACCCAATGCGTGCATGAATTCTTCTTTGGATACTCGAGGTCCGACGGGCATTTTTGTTGGATTCCTCAATCGGATTGAGATGGGGTTGTTGGTATGTAAAGTGCTGTATTTGCCGTGATTAAAGAGTAGAGCCGAGCTTGTATATCAGCCGTGAAATCAAGATCCAAGAAAAAGAGATCGGTGAAGACGAATGTGAATGCGAATGCAAAACTGTAGAAGTAAACTCTCAGCCAGACTTTATATCCCTCTATCTACCCATTCAAACAGACCTCAACGGCGCTGAAACCCATCTAACGGCCGTTGGCTGCAAATTGCACGGCGCCGAAGCCGTGCCGACACAATCAGAGACGCCTATGCCGGAATGAAGCAGAGCGAACGGGCTATGCGAGACAAGAAACAGAAACAGACGCAATCAGACCAAGCGGGGAAATAGGGAAATGGGGCAAAGGGAAAACCCGCAATCAGATCGATATAACACAAGCACAAGGATCCGGAGCAGAGGACAGGGATCTAAGGGGTGTGCTTCGAGGCTAAGACAATGCCTCTTGCCTCCTACAGATAAAGATTATTATTCTTTCTTCTGGCGTGAATACATGACCACCAAAAAGAAGGATAAAGATGGAAGGCACGAGTCTAGTGTTGCAGTCGAGGTATTTGTTTGGGATATTCCGGGACATTTCTTGTCTGCCCTGGCGCTTATGATTCTCTCTCCGGGATTATACGCTACTGTACTTCTTGCAGGATGCGTGGAGTCTGGTAGTACATGTACAATGTGCGTGTGGGTTATCACTGCATACCCGTTAATATACAACCCCGGACTACGCCAAACCGAGATCCGGGCTGAATATGTTCGCTTCTATTGGTTTAGTGCGTGCAGGGTACGTAAACTGTTGGAGGCTGGTAGAGCCCAAGGAATAGGGCTACGGTGCTGTGATGCAGTGTTTCTCGGTGGGAAGTAGGCCAGGGGCATGAAATTCCGATATAGCAAACGAGACCGAGTGTAGTTTACAATTAGAGATTAGAAAGGGAGGAAGGAATAAAAGGAGAGGCAGGTAGTACAAAACCTCCTATTCCTGTTCTCTACCTCTCGCCCCCTTGAAAAAAAGAAAGGCGTATTGCAGACCAGCAGGGTGACAAGTCGAAATAAAGCGAGACAATTACAAACAGAGTCATGGCAGACCCAGCACTCGGGGTCGAGGGCTGTGCGCAAAGATGGCAGGCTTAGTGCGTGCTAGTATATCGAGGGAGACGTGCTGAGCTCAGGCCTGCTATCCGAGACAGACGGGTAGGAGATATATGTATGCTTGCATGCATGAGAAAGGGGTGTGTTTTCGAGGTCAGTTTGTTTATTGTATATGGACGGGAGTAGACACTTCCGGATCCCCGTCAAGATCCCCGTCATATAGCAACAGGCATTCGGCAGGAAACGCTAGTATGTCTGGAAGGTTACCTCGCTGCCACGCACCTGTACGTATCCGTGGGGAAGGAAATCAACTCAACTTTAGCTTAACAGAACAAAATCTGGAAAGCCACATTCCCAGCCGAGGACATCCACTATGCCGAGACAGCTAGGAGAATTACGCGGTGCATCCCGAATTCGGTATCGAGGCCCACTGAAACCCAGCCCGGCAGCAAGCGAAACATTCAGCCACCCATGCTAGTGGGAAAATAAAGCCAAATAAGGCACCTGTGCCTACCCGTCGGCTTGCGGGCATCCTGCAGAGAGAAAAAAAACAACGCTCGTTGGCTATGTCGTGTGATCTGCCCGGCCGGATCCCAGGCCAGGATGTAATTGAGCAGAAATTCGACAGACCGGAACCCAAATCGGTGCTGTTGCTTACATCTATGTCAGCTTTTGGATTTTCGATAGTGGGCGCGTACTTGCTTCCCCTTGCAGGGAAAGGGGATCCGGTTGGACGATGGCTTAACTCGATTTCAATTTCCTCGTTTGTGATGGGTGCATATGCAATGGGATGAGACGAGCAACGTGGCAACAAGTACGGCGAATTGACCTTTGGATTTGGATCTACCTTTTTTGGCGCCATCCGAGCAACAGAGTAGAGTGCCTTTATAGCTCTGTAGGCATGAAACGTCGCGTGCTATACGTGCCAGATGCTAGATTTGCAACTGCCAAATGGCGACCAGAGCATATAAATATATCATGAAAAAAAGAGTGACATGTAATCCCTAACAGGAGAACCTACCGTCCCATTTCTGGCTCAACGGAGCGTTTCCTCGTTGGTGCTGCGATTAAAGAACGGATGTCACATTGTGTACAAGACGAGGGCCTGTCAAGGCGGATCATCTGCGCATCGCCATTTTAGTAACACTGCATAATCCCGCTGGTGCATTGCATACTAGTACGGACTGTTGAGAGGGAGGTCAAGCTTTGATTGGGACGACTAGGCCAAGGAGGTAGGAGGAGTCACATTTGCCACGCTGAATCTTGACCTAGGATGTATGAAGAATATTCTTTAGAGGCTGTTCTCTAAAGACGCTCGGTAGAACCTAAAGTGCACCACTCGCTCAAATAACTCTAGCTCCTCCAATTGGCTGAATTTCAGCTTCAGCAATATGTGAGCATACTGTTGAATGTCGCCGGCGTCACACCATCTCCACACTGCAGGTCCCCAGTACTTGTTTACCATTCGCTATTGACCATAGAAGAGCGGTTGCAGGCGCAGATATGGCAGGATTTGCTGTCAGTTAGAGTGGAGAGTGGAGAATGTGATCGGTTGTTTCGAGCAAACTATTCTTGTAAAGTGCAGCATTCCTGAATCGAGACTTGTGAAACACACACACAGACACACATACACACCACAATCTTCGATTAGATCGAATTTCACCAGTTAATGATTTCCTCCCGTTGAACAGATACCGTCCGAGCTTTTGATGACAGATAGAAAGGCACGTTGAGAAAACACAAGATAAATAGAGTAAGACTAAACAGGCCTATCTTCCGTCGAATGTGACGACAGATCCAGCAAATCAATATAACCAATCTATCAAGGGGCAATGGAAGTGAATCTATAAATTGGGTCGACCATCCGAGTTCCAAGGTTGAGTCAAGCTTATCCGGGTACCCCAGTACCCCAAAGGCCCACGCAAGTGGCTGAAGGTAAAAAAGCTTTTCAGAGCGCCACTTCTCGGCTTGAATGCTTGGGGGTTCCAAGTTTGATGATCTGACTTAAGCATGCCTAAATCTAATATTCAGGGATTTTTGACTACTTCGGCTATACTTTGACGTCCAGGCATATTGTAGGGTACGTCACGCGTCACGCGTCACACGTACCTCAATACTGACGCAATGCCTACTATACGTCGATCCACGAAACGAAAAGCGCAGGTTGTATGCAAGAAAACAGGGCCTAACAGAGGCACCCGGATTTCCGTAAGTCGCTATTGTTCAAGACCCCTCGGAATCGTCACGATTCTCGCGCCTGCACCTACGTGACAGACCAGGAATATCCGTTTCCACACCAGTCTCCAGACAGGAAGGGGAGATGTGGTGGGGGAGGTTGTTATGTACGTGTCAAGAAAGCCATAAAAAGCCAGGATCAGAAGAAATGGGAGATAAGGGAAAGGGAGTGAAAAAGGGCAAAGGGGGAAATGAAAAAGAAAAAGTCATTTGCCATGCTCCATCCGTCGCTAAAAAGTAAAAGGGGAGGGAGAGATATCAACCAGCCCGCATGACCGCTTATTTCGAGGCTTCCTTAGTAGGCTCCTTGGACTTCTGGGTCTCCTTGGCCTCCTTGGCCTCCTGTTTGGGCTCTTCCTTGGGGTTTTCTTCTTTCTTCTGCTCCTTGGCCTCCTCTTCTGGCTTCTCTTCTTCGTCCTTCACCTCCTCACCGTAGTATCGGCGGAGGAGCTTCTCGACCTTGCGATATTCGACCTTGACTTCATCCAGAGTCTTTTTGATGGCCTTGAGACAGGACTCTGTGTCCGGTTGGTCAATGAGACCTGTCTCGTCCTTGTGGGCGCCGAAGTTCTGGATCTTCTCGCAGCCGTCCTTAACCTTAACAAGGCCCAGTGTAGCCGACGAACCCTTGAGGAAGTGACCGAGGGCAGAGAGTTCATCGAGGTTCTTGTTATCTCTGTTGCGCGATGATTAGTAAAGACCAATCACCGGTAATTCCACCTGGAGGAAACAAGACACCCACATTTCCTTCTGAATCTT